AATGTCCCTGCATTCATAGATTAGCTCAGGGAGGATTAATATTTTTTTTAAGATAGTGCAACGGTGCGATCTCAGCTCACTGCAACCTCCGCCTCCTGGGTTCAAGGGATTCTTCTGCCTCAGCCTCCCAAAGTGCTGGGATTACAGGCACACACCACCATGCCTGGCTGATTTTTGTATTTTTAGTAGACATGGGGTTTCACCATGTTGGCCAGGCTGGTCTCAAACTCCTGACTTCAAGTGATCCATCCACTTTGGCCTCCCAAAGTGCTGGGATCACAGGGGTGAGCCACCATGCCCGGCCCTTTAATGTATTTCAGTTAGGTTTTTTTTTTTTTTTTAACTTTTCTTTTTAATTGCCTTGTCCATCTTTTGTTGGATTTATTGTTATTATCACATGCTTTTGACATTCCTGTGGCAAACGGTATCCTTAAATGTTGTGTTCCCTGCCTCTGGCTGGTGCGTGAGGAGGCATTCACTTTTAGTGCCTGGGCTCACAGGCAGCTGCCATGGATTCTCCTGAGTTCTGACTATTCAGGACCGGGGATTCTCTTGGGTGTCTGTGCAGACAGTTACATGGTTGTGAACATGACAGTGTTTTTCTTGTCTACCAGTCTCTTCCTACAAAGAAAGCCTTTTCCTTTCTTACAACTCTGGACGTGACACCGGTCCATTTGAAGTAGAAGTTGGGAAGCTGGCATTCTCACCTAATTCTTGATTTTAAAGAAAATCTCCTGGCATTTCGCGATTAGGGATTATGTTTGCCGTTGGCTTATGAATGACACCTTCCTCCCTTCTGTCCTTAGTGGATTAAGAATGTCTATGGATGGTGTTATATTTTACCCCAATTCTTCTGTAGTGCTTACATTCGTTATGTGTTGTAAACAGGAATCAATACATCATTCAGTTTTCTGATGTAAAACTATTATCACATTAAAAAGAACCCTCAAGGCTGGGAGTGGTGGCTCTTACCTGTAATCCCAGCACTTTGAGAGGCCGAGCGGGGAGGATCACTTGAGGCCAGGAGTTTGAGACCAGCCTGGGCAACATAGTGAGACCCCATCTCTAAAAAGAAAAAAAAAAGTAGCCAGGTGTGGTGATAAGGTAGCTGTGGTCCCAGCTCTGTGAGAAGCTGCGGTGGGGGATTGCTGGAGCCCAGGAGTTTGAGGCTGCAGTGAGCCAGGATCTCACCACTGCACTCTGGCCTGGGTGACAGAGCGAGACCTCATCTCTTTAAAAAGGTAAAATAAAAAAAAATAATAATAAAGGACCCCCTTCGTCATCATGCGATTTTAAAACATTCGTACTATTTTTTCTCGTAGGAGATTTAACTACTGGTTCTGTGTTTTGTTTTCTTTGCACCCTTGATTCGGAATGCAGAGCTCAATGTCTTTAAAACAAATGAAGTCTACGCAAGGTTTGAACTTTGCCTTGAGTCGATTCCGTGTTGTATGTCTCCTGGGAATGGGCTCTTTGCTCGGTTTGCAGATTGTCACAAAGCTGTTTATGGAATTCTTCCACCACAGCGCCACGTCTGCTGCCTCCGTCACCACGCTCCTCTTTGTCGACATTGCTTATTTGTGTCTCTGCCTCTTCCTACTGATTTTTCTGCCCGATGGTAGGCCATTGATTAGTTTTTTTTCACAGAAACAAGCTTTAACATTATTTATTGATTGATTTTTGAGCCACAGTCTCACTCTGTTGCCCAGGCTGGAGTGCAGCGGCCAGACCATGGTTTACCGCAACCTCCGCCTCCTGGGCTCAGGCGATGCTCCTAACTCAGTTTCCCAAGGAGCTGGGATTCCAGGCGCCCATCAGCATAGCTGGCTAATTTATTTTCAGTTTTTGTAGAGACAGGTTTTCGCCACGTTGCCCAGGCTGGTCTCGAACTCCTAGGCTCAGGTGATCTGCCCTCCTCGGCCTCCGAAAGTGCTGGGATTTCAGGTGTGAGCCACCGCACCCGGCCAACACCGAGACAATGCTTCCTTTTCTTGATCTTCATTAATTTTTATTTTCTGTTCTATTACCCTCTTGTGTTATTATTTCCATTCTGCTCTTTGCCTTGGTTTCAGTGTCTTGTTCATTTCCTCATTTCATAAATTAGATGCGTCCTTATTCATATTTTCCCCTCATGTTTTTGCTCTGCTGTAATCCAGACTTTGTCGTCTCTGTTTTTCAGTCCCCCCTCTTCTGATGGAAGCCTCCAGAGCCCCCGTTTCCCTCTGTCTTGTCTCAGCCACAGCCAGGCTTTGCTCTGTGTTCCCCCGTCCTCCTGAGGTCCTAGCCTCGACCGCCCCGCCTGGCCTCGTCCTCTCTGGTCCCCGAGCTACTCAGGCGGGTTTTTACTTTCTAGCCTTTGCTGAACGGGCTGACTCCCGGTTGGGTTCTGACGTGGCTGCGGAGGGCGGACAGTGGGCTGTGGCATTCTTGTGTCCGTGGCCAGCTTTGGTCACCGTCTCCCGTGCCTCCTCTAGTTTGGAGGCTCCACTTCTGTCCCTGTCTGTTCCACGAAGCCAAGCAATTTCTTTCCAGTCCCAGGTGCCTCTCCCCCGCGCTCTGCGGGGAGCAGAATCTGTGCACTAGGCCCGCAGACTCCTTTGCCCTTGCGATGGCGCCGTGGGCTCCCACCGCCCTCTGGGTCCCTCCCACTCCCCACTGTAGGCTGAGTGGGGGACGGAGCCCCTGCCCGTGGGTGCTGATCACCTCTGTCCCCATTAGAGCTGCTTGCCTCCTGTCCATTGGGTGCTGCTCAGGGGCCTTTCAGAACAAGGCAGCACAGCAAGATCAGTGACATCGACCAAGGACTCCACCCTGGGCGCGCTCAGCGTTCTGCCTGTGTGTTACCCAGTGAGCACACCTGGTCGGGCGCAGCGTAGCTGAGACTCCCTCATGCAGGCCCACTGGGGGGTGCAGGCTGACGCACAGTGCTGTGTGTTGTGGGGTCACACACCTGGGATGATGTTGCTCTGTGTGTTTCTGTGTGTGTGTGTCTCTGTGGGTGCTGTGGGATCACACACCTGGGATGTTTCTGTGTGTGTGTGTGTGTGTGTGTGTGTGTATTGTAGGGTCACACACCTGGGATATTGCTCTGTGTGTGTGTGACGGGGTCACACACCTGGGATGATGTGTCTCTGTGTGTGAGCATGTGTGTGTGTGTGTGTGTGTGTGTGTGTGTTGTGGGGTCACACACCTGGGATGTTTCTGTATGTGTGTGTGTGTGTGTATTGTAGGGTCACACACCTGGGATATTGCTCTGTGTGTGTGTGATGGGGTCACACACCTGGGATGATGTGTCTCTGTGTGTGAGCATGTGTGTGTGTGTGTGTGTGTGTGTGTGTGTGTGTTGTGGGGTCACACACCTGGGATGTTTCTCTGTGTGCGCGCATGTGTGTATTGTGGTGTCACACACGTGGGATGTTGTTGCTCTATGTGCAGGTGATGGGGTCACCTACCTGGGATGATGTGCCTCTGAGTGGGAGCGTGTGTTTGTGTGTCTGTGTGTTGTGGAGTCACACACGTGGAATGATGTGTCTGTGTGTGTGTGTGTCTGTGTATGTGTCTGTGTGTATGTTGTGGGGTCACACACCTGGGGATGTTTGTGTGTGTGTGTGTTGTGGGGTTACACACCTGGGGATGGTGTGTGTGTGTGTGTGTGTGTGTGTTGTGGGGTTACACACCTGGGATGATGTATCTCTGTGTATGTGTGTCTCTGTGTGTGTAGCTGTGTGTGTTGTGGGGTCACACACCTGGGGATGTTTGTGTGTGTGTGTGTGTCTGTTTGTGTGTGTCTGTGTGTATTGGTCACACACCTGGGGATGTGTGTATGTGTGTCTGTGTGTGTGTAGCTGTGTATGTTGTGGGGTCACACATCTGCAGGTGTTTGTATGTGTGTCTGTGTGTGTGTAGTGTGGTGTGGTCACACACCTGGGGATGTGTGTGTGTGTGTGTGTGGTGGGATCACACACCTGGGGATTGTGTGTGTGTGTGTGTGTGTGTGGTGGGGTCACACACCTGGGTTGATGTCTCTCTGTGTGTGTGTGCTTTGGGATAACATACCTGAGATGATGTGTGTGTGTGTGCATGTGTTGTGGGGTCACACATCTGGGGGTGATGTTATGTGTGTGTGTTACATGTGTGTTGCAGGGTCTGCACACGTGTGTGATGCTATCTGGAGGTTCTGTTTTGTCCTCTGGGTCCTGGCCTTGCCACCATCCCCATTGCAGACTGAGGGGCTGCGCTCCCCACCCCGCACCATCCCCCACTCCCCGTCCTTGGCAGCAGAGCGCACAGATGTGGCTGCCCGCCCCTGAGTCTTTCTGGGGAGACCATTTTGGACTCCAAACCTTCCTCTGTGAATACTTTGCTGTACAAGTCTCTGCGTCTTGATCCAATTTCTGTGATTTATATTTTCCATAATTCTCTCTGGTCAGGATTTTGAGATTTATGACCCATGTGTGCTCTGCTGTCCTGTGTGCTGGGGGAGGCTGCCTGCATCTGCCCTGCCTGCTGTCTGCTGGGAGTGAGTGCTCCTGCATTGCTCTTGCCCAGACCAGGGTCTGGGGTGCGCCCCTCATGCCTGAGCCCCTCACTGCCTTCCTCTGCCTTTCTGAGGGGTGGCAAAGTCTCGCTCAGAGCCCTGCCCTCCTCCCTCATCCCCTCCTGAGACAAAGTTTCTCTGTCCTTAGTGGATTCAGAGCTGGCACAGATGGGGTCTGGGGCTGGAGGTGAGGCCTGCAGACCCCTCCTGGGCAGACCCCATAGAAGTGGAGAGCGGAGGGGTCCTAAAGGCTCAGGTGGGGATGGAGCCCGCTTTTTAGAGGGAAAATGGGCAGTGTCTGATGGGCATCCTGGCACCACCCTGGCCGTAGCAGCAGGTGGCATGTGCTGGCCAGTCCCCTCCTGAGCTGACCCCGCAGATGGCTGGGACACTCTGCCCTTGGGCAGCCCCCCCACCTCCCCAGCATCCCCCAGGGCCCCCATGCAGAAGCGAGTGCACGCTGTGGAGGGGGGTCTGCAGCTTTATTCACAGGCCCCGGGGGATAGAGGCAGCAAGGACAGAGATTCAGGCGGGGCTCTGGGGTGGCGTCTCCAGCCCCAGGATTGTCAGGGAGCCCATGCTGGGATGGTGGGGGTTGGAGGATTCGGAGTCCCACGAGCGACTCCCATGTGCGCGAGGGTGGAGGGTCTCTGCCTCGAGGGGCCTTTCTGGCCTCTCTATTTCCAGCGCCCGCCGACTTTGCCCTTGGCTGGGGACCCAGCCTTCTTGCTGCTGCAAATGGGAAGCAAGTGGTCCTTGAGTGTCAGGGGCTCTGGCCGTGCCCCTCCGGTCCCCCACTCCGGGCAGACTCTCAGCTCGACCCCAGGCTGCTCTCAGGGCGCAGGCCCCGGGCAAGCTGGTGGTGTACACCCAGCTTCAGTTCCGGCAGCACCCACTCACCTGTGCCTGGCGGGCCTGGGTTGTTAGTGTGGTTGGGGGCTGGCTGTGTGAACCTGGGGCACCCTTCCTCTGTCCTCCCTTCCTTGCCCGAGGTGCCACTGCACACAGACCCCCGATAATGAGAACCCTCCCAGGCACTTGGCCTCCAAAGAGCTCCTGCCCCTCCAGACAGGCTTTGGACGGCGGCGGCCCCAGGCCTTCACGTGGCCGAGAGCCAGGAGGGGTTGGGTGTGGGTAAGGGACGGAGGCAGGCGGAGGACGGGAGTGCCCGTGCTCCCGAGGCTGGCCCCTGTCAGATGCCGGCTAAAGGCCGTGCCCCCACCCATGCTCCTGAGCACCCTCAGCGCACACACACGTGCACACACGCAGGCACAGGCACATCTCGCCAACGCCCGTCCGACCCCTGACCACACAGCAGGGAAGCTGTGAGGTCGCCTGCAGCACGGAGGAGCCGACCCTGGGGGCTGCGGGGAAGCAGGGGCCATGGGAGGAGGAAGAATCCTAGAAAACATGGACACTCCAAGTAGCCCCCAAGCACGGCGATCCTTGGGGAAATGGAACTGGCTGTGCAGCCGGGCTCAGTGACAGGATCCCCAGCGTGGTGCCGCCGGGATCGCCCTGGGTGCAGGCCCGTGCAGGTGGGCGAGCAGCTGTGCCAAGGGTTCCCACAGCTCCCATGGTGACCCGATTTTATGGATGAGGCATCGCCAACCAGGGGAGTCCATGTTTTTGCCTAGCATCACAGAGGGGTTGGGACGAAGCCCTGGCTGCTTAATTCCTTAATTCTAGGCCCCCTTAGAGGGCAGAACACTGGCGGATACCCTGGGGCCCAGATTGGCCGCACCAAAGGCTGCCGGGAGCGGCCCCGTCTAGGGGTCCCATGGCTGCCCTCTCCCTGCAGCCAAAGACAGACTCAGGATGAGGGCGTAAATGGGTGAGCCCCACTGGGCTCCCTCCTCCTGACTCTGCCATCCCCCAGGGCTCCTCTGCATGCAGTGGGGCAGGAGGCTCTGGGTCCCTGACCACAGGCCTGTACATGCTGGCCCCAGGGGCCTGGCCGGGTTAGTCTCATAATGGCCCTGCTGAGGCCAGCCATCTCCGGCCACCACCAGCCCTTGTTAGGGACTGGCTATGGTGCCGGCTCCGCGGGCCCCGTGCCCGGTGCGGAGCGAGGACAGCAGGGCTACTCACTGCTTCTGGGCCTGGTCGATGCGGCTCCTGAGCGTGGTGATCTGTGGACAACATGAGTGACTCACTGCGACGACCTGAGGGCCAGGCCTGGGGGAAGGCCGGTCTCCGCTGCAGTGCGGGCTGGGCTGCGTGACCCGGGGCTGCTGGGCCCCCACCAGGGCTGCTCGGCTCCCTTACTGTCTCCTGGCTCCTTGCGCGGGGGGACACCGTCCCTGGGCCCTCGGGCTCGTGCCTGGACTTACTCTCGCCGGCCTGTACTGGCCTGGGCTGCCACACACAGCAGCCCGGAGCTGGCCACTTACCTTCAGCCTGCGGCAGGCTGCGGGGCAGGGGGCACGGAGCATGAATGGGGCGGGCGGGGCAGGTGAGGCCTGCAGACCCCTCCTTCCCAGCTGCAGCTCCCTTGAGCCCGGAGCGTACCTCCTGCTCCTGGGTCAGCCACTCCTGCCCTCCTGCCTGCGCCGGGGTGCTCTGTGACCGCTCCTGGCTTGAGGTGGAGCTCCTGGGAAGGCGAGGCCCTTCCTCACTTGCCAACAGGGCAGCGGCCACTGGGCAGCCCCCGGCTCCAGGCATGAGGGAAGAGTTGGGCAGAAGGAAGGCTCCAGGCCCCCTGCCGCCGGCATCCTGAGCGACCCAGGTTTTTGCCATGCGAGAGGTTCACCTCACCGTGCAGCGCACACCCACAGGCCCGGCCCAGGGCGGGCCCGGCTACTCACAACTTGGCCAGCATCTGCACTCTGGCCCGGACATTCATGATCTAGAAAGACCAAGATGGTTACATGGCTGGATGGGTGGCCGAGGCAACGAGGCCCTGCTGTGGGCTGGGCTGGCCTGGTGATGGCCCTCCAGGCTCTGGAGCCCCTGGGGACCTGCCATGACAACATCTATCCAGAGCGAATGGGTCCCTGACTCAGCTCTGGGAACACAGCATGGGAAGGCCCGGGTCCTGTGCGGTAAAGGCCAAATGAGGACCAGCCCCTCTGGGAGAGTCCGGAGACTGAGGTCAGGCCAGTCCCCCACGCCTGGAGCCCCTGGGGACCGCTGTGGGAGGGAGTGCAGCCACACCGCCTCTGTTGGAGGGGAGCTTGTGGAGGCTCAGGAGGAACAGGCACCCTGCCCGGAGCCCCGGAGAAGGAGCTCAGATTTGCCTGGCTGGCGTGGACTGGTTGCCCAGCACTGCTGCACCCGCGTGGAGCAAGGCCTTGTGAGCGCAGCTGCCCTCCCCCGGGGCCCCTGGCAGTGCTGGACGGCGGACGGCGTGGTCTTGATGGTGATGCTGGAGTGTCTGCATTTGCCCTGAGCGCACGGATCACTCATGGCTGCGACCCTCGCCCGTGGAGCCCACGTGCGTGTTCGGGAGGGTAGAAAGAAGCTCAGCTTCCTCCCTGGCTCCCAGGTTGTACCCCAGACCCCGAGGCCGCCCGGGCGGGCTGCCTTCCCGAGCCCCAGCTTCGCCTGCAGCCATGGTCCCTGCGTGGAAGGTCGCCCTGCTCTGTCCCAGAGGAGCATAGTCCCAGGCTCCCTGTCCCAGCCACAGGGCGCAGCGTGCAGCCCCCTCTGCCGGCCCCGAGGAAACCGGTGTCGTGGACCCTGGTGGAGCGGTTTGCGGAGGAGCCATCGGAAAGGATGCCCCACACCGGGGGTCTCAGTGCCCGGGAGCTGAGCTCAGTGACGATGGGGACTTTCTATAAACTTACAGGGGTTCAGAGAGTGGACCCTGAGTCCACTCGGCCATGGCTGCTCCCCCATGACAATCCTCATGGCCATGGTGACCAAGGCCACCTAAGGGCCAGGATCCTCGTACAGGCTGCTGTGTGGCCAGCCAGGAGGATGAGCCACAGTCCCCAGCAAGAGAGCAGCCCCAGCCAGGCGTCAGTGGCAACAGCCTGTGTGGGCCTCGTAGGGCCCAGGCCCCGTGGGTGGGGGTAGGTCCAGAGTTTGGTAGGGGTGCAGGAAGGTGGCAGCCCTGGCTGGCGGGTGAAGGCCGCTGTGGCCCCGGGGCCGGAGGCGCTGGGACTCACATCATATTTCTGGCGTTTCAGCTTCTCCCCGAACTCAAACTTGTCAGTCTCCAGCTGGTACAGGGTATCCCAGAGCTCCTTGGCCTTGTCCCTGGGGCGGAGGAAGTGGCGAGGCTTCGGCGAATAAGCCCAAAGGCAGCGCCAGGCCCCCGGAGGGCTCCTGCAGCCACCGAGGAGCGCGGCCTTGGCAGCTCCTGCAGGTGCCCCGCCCCCGGGACCCCCGCCCCTTACCTCAGCTTGTCTTCACTGAGGTGGTCGATGTTGAGCGGCTTGCGTCTCTCGGCGAGAATCTTCTTCTTCATTTCGCGTGCCGTCTGCTTCTTGCCTCTCTTCTGGTCAGCCTGTAGGGAACAGGCCCAAAGAGAGGGGCCCGGACTCAGGAGGGCGCAGGGCGCGCCCACCCTGAAGGCGGCCGGCGTGCTCGCAGCCGTGGCAGGCACGCACCTTGGCCAGGTAGCTGCTGTAGTTGGCTCCCATGGAGGACAGGGCCTTCTTCTTCTTCAGGTCGTCCTCTGCTCTCCTCTTGGCGTCCTCCTCCTCCCTTCTGGCCTTTTCTTCCTGTGGAGACCCGTCCCCGAGACGCTCAGGGATGGAAGGAGGCCTCTGCCTTCTGGGCATCCTTGAGGGACCCACCCCGGGCTTAGGAACTGTCTGGAAGGAAGCTCCAGGTCTTGGCCAGGATGTGTTCTCTTGCAAGGGGTCCTGCAGGGCGTGGGGGCCTCAGCCAGTGGCTCTGATCATCGGCTAGCGGCAGTGGGAACCCCAGGAGGAGGAAGGCCTCAGCCTCCTGAATTTCTCTGGACCTGGGGCTCAATGGCAGAGGCAGGGGTGGGGCTGGTGCTGTCCTTACGGCCAGTCTGTTCTGGCGCTCCCTCTCCTTCTCTGCGCGAATCCTCTGCTGCTCTGCTCTCTCCGCACGGCGCTTCTCCTGCAGCCAGGGAAGGGGGTCTGCTCAGCCCTGCCCCCAGCTCCTCCGAGGGTGCCCACCAGCCCCTGCTGCAGCCTGAACCACCCTACTCACGATTCTCTCCTTGAGAGCAATCAGCTCCTCTTCCTCCTTCTTCCGGGCTTCAAAATGGCTGTCGATGAGGGCCTGGAGCTCCATGAGGTCTTTGTTCTGACGCTTCTTCTGGATGTCCTGTGGGCAGGGGCAGTGGGTGTCAGCCCTGCCCTCCCTCCAACCTCTGCCCTGCCTGGCCTGCCTTGCAGCATGAGGCCCCATCTCTTGCTCCATCAGAGAAGCCCTGATTCCCTTGGCCACCGTGAACATGGCAGGGGCAGAAAATTTTGCCCTCCCCACATTGCCACACTGCTCTCTTCATAGGGGCCGAGGGTGGCCTGATTCCTGAGCCACAGAGCGGGGATGGTGCCCAGCTAGAAGGTCCTCAGCATCCTTGGGATGGACTGGCTCCGACTCGGCTCTGTCATTATCCTCAGAGATGCCCAGCATAGGCCTGGCAGAGAGAAGACTGCGGAGTGAGCTAAAGTTGCTGGATAAATCGATGGGCCTGTGAACAGATGAACTGATGGATGGGTGGATGACTGCTAGATGAGTGGGTGGATGTATGGGTGGATGGATAGATGGGTGGAGGGATGGATGAGTGGATGGGTAGGTTAGTGGGTGGGTGTGTGGGTAGATGGGTGAATGAATGGGGGGAGTGGATGGTTGCGTGAATGAGTGGATGATAATGGATGGGTGAGTGGATGGATGAGTGGTATGCATAGATGGATGGGTGGGTTAGTGAGTAGGTGAATGGATAGATGGGTGGGCGGGTGGATAGGTGGGTGAGTGTATGGATGGGTGGTTGGATGGGTAGATGGGTGGATGATTGAGTGAGTGGATACGTGTCTGGTTGGATGGATGAATGGGTGGATGAGTGGGTGGGTGGGTGATCGCATGCATGACTGGATAATGGATGGATAAATGGCTGGCTGGGTGGGTTGAGGGGTGGGTGGGTGAGTGGTTGTATGGGTGAGTGGATAATGGATGGATGAACGGATGGATAAATGGTTGTGGTGGATGGATGGATGGGATGGGGTTTGGCGAAGTCTTACAGCACAAGGATTCATAGCGATCACAGCGACACACACAACACAGTCGCAATCACTGGATGGCAATAATACACACACACAGACCGCAGAGAGTGGTGGTATAAGGAAGTAAGGGAAATGAAAGAGAATGGGTGGAAGCAACAGACGTGGAAGAATGCAGAGTGACGAAATGGGGAGTGGGTAGGTGAAGAGGAAAAGACAATTAGGGGCTAGGTGCTTGAAATGTGGGTGGAAAGGGTAGATGGAAAAAAGTAGAGATGGTGATAAAAGAGAATTGAAATATGCGTAGAATTAAGAAGTAGCAAATGATAGCTTAAGTGAGCAAGAGATATGTGGATTCTGTTCTGTTGTATGTGGTCATCTGGATAGGTGTGGCTGTCAAGGAATTGGGTAGGTGTGTGCTTATACGTGGTGACTGTGTTCAAATTTATGGGTGGGTCAATATTGGTATGGTAGACGTATAAGGAGGTACAGTGTTTGGGTGGTATGGTGCAGTGAAAGATGTATATTCTGTGGATTTGGGGTCGGGTGTGGATGTCTGGATAGGTAGGTGAATGGTAGGTGCCGTACAGTGAGGAGTTGTTCTGGCAATAAGCTAGGGTACTTTTAGGTTTTGCTTAGGCAGGTCTGAGTTCACTTTTGGATATCCTTGTTAATTTTCATGGGGTTAGGGACGCACATTGATCACTGGTGTGGACTATATTTAGAAAGGGATGGGGTGTTTTAAGTATGAGACGATACAGCTTCGAAGTTGTTATTTGAGAGTGTGGGGAGGTCCTTACTGTGAGGTCTCCCTTTAGAGTAAAATGATCGTGTATGGGAGGAACTTGCTTTATGTATCTGGAAGAGATGCTCCTGTTATTGAGCCAGACCCAGGAGGCCCCGAGCTCTGGGCTGTCTGCTTTATAGGTTTAAGGTAGTGGAAAGTGATAACGTCTGACGGCGACTTCCTGTTTGATAGCCTGTGAGCCCAAAAAGCGGTGCGATTGATCCTGGTGGTGTTGTGGGGAGCAACAATGTTAGTTGTAATAGGTTGCTCCCCTTTCGTTGGTGTACTGATCCTAGCATTTGACCTCTTGTGACTGGTTAAACTTTACATTCAAAGGTCAGTCCACTCTTACTTTTCCCCTTATTCCGAGAGGGGATCTTAGGGAGCAATGGATGAATTGCGACAACTTCTTGGCATTTTGTTATGAAAACAGATGTTGAGTGCTTTTTTCTGTCGATCGCAGTACCAGTATGCCCTTGGGTGTACAGCACAAACAACCCTCATCGCTCCGAGGTCCTCGAGTCTACTTGTGGTGGCTTTCACGCCTCACCTACTGGCCCCTGCTCTGGCCTGGCGTTGTACCTCCCCTTGCTCGTCGAGTGTCAATCGCAAGGCGAGGTAGATTTCCTATGCGCGCTGCCATTACAGCACACTGATGGGTTTAGGTCGGCAGTCATTGTTTATATGTCCACCACAGCTATTTTATTCGCTTCACGAAAGTTTGTGGTTCTGTTTTTGTAGTTGCGCACCTGAGTGTGGGGCACTTTTGAGCCCCTCAGAAGCATCAGCTTCCGGAGGCCCAGCCTTTGTACACATTTGCAGGGTCCTGTTGTCAGCTTTAACACTGTTGGCGCATTTGCATGTGAGTACGTGGAATCATTGCATCTGCCACATCGCTCTGCACCAAAGGTTTGACTGCTAGCGAGGCGGGTCCGACGATCTCGTCGTTCCATCGATTTAGTTGATGTCAGATAAAACAGACATCACGAGCGACCATTTGGCATGTCAGTGTGTCGCGATGACGAGCATGCCCTGTTATATGGTCACACTTCGAGTTTGGGCGGCCTGGTTTTGGAGTGGCTGGGGGTGTAGGCCCTCGGCTTGTGTTCTTTCTCTGGTTTGAGGCTGTTCTAGGTAACCATGTGACATGGGAAGTCGCCCCTGTGCCTCAATACCACGCCACACAAAGAAAGCCCTATCAGAACAATTTGCTATCCCCAGAACACCCACTCTCAGTCACCGATTCCTGTTTCTCGTGGGACTCGTCAATCAAGGAGGAGAGGGCAGGAAGAATGCAATCTGAGGGGAAGCGCCCCTCTCCGCTGGTGTGGTGTCCCTCCCTCTATCAGCAATACATCCAGATGCAGCAAAGAGTTATAACTACAACAACACGTATTTTTCTAACAACCGATGGAATTGAAAGTAACCAGTAGATACTAAACATATCAAGCACAACTGGAGCGGGAAAGGGTTTCTAAGTCTCAGAAGCACAGAAGGTGCTCTCAGGGAGAAGAGAAACAACGAGCAGGAGATGACTGGCTGTCGACGCAGAATGAAAAACTGGTATGTATGTGAGTAAAAAGCAAGATGGACAGGCGGGGCAAAAAGACAAATAAAGAAAATCAACCATGAGACCACCAAAATAAAAAACCAGACTAAAAAAATAGTTTTCAGCAAACTACAGAGTGTCGGGAGACTTATATCCTTATGCAGCAACTGATGATGTAAAGGAGGGAAAACACTAGAGACGAACGCCTCACCACGGGACAGCTGGGGCTAATGAGGCAGACGGCCAGAACTACTAATTCTCAGAGAAGAAATGACGACCCGATCCACAAACACAGGGAAAAGCTGGCGTGCGCCGTGAGGCTGCTCTGGGCGGCGGAGCCAGAGCGGACCATGTGAAGACTGCCATTTCCCATCGCATCAGAGCTGCGATGTCAAAGCACGTTTCGTGATGCGCTGGACAGTGAGGGGCGGCGTGTGTGGGGTATGGAGCGCGCTCATCGAACCACACAGTGCGACGATAGAGACAGCGTGCTCGCAATGCCGTGGTGCTAGGATGAAGGGCACATTTGGCCCTAGCGTGCTGCACAGCACGCAGCCACTGCTCAAAGACACATTCATACTCTTTGACCTGTAATCCAGTCTCGGGACAGGATGTAGCCTACGGAAATACCCTTAAGACAGAAAGCGCTTTTGCAGCAGACGTTATTCTGATAGTAACATATTGAAAGCCTGCATGAGGGATATGTGCAACCTAATGTGCAAGTCTAGAAAAATTTATCTGGTGCATTGTTCTTGTTCGACTACATGCTGATGGAATAATATATTGGGTGCACCACTTCAAACATACAATAATTTATAAAAGGCAAGTATAAAAAGAATATGTAAAAAACATGAGAACAAAAAAGCAAACAACTTGTAGAAGTAGTGCTAAATAAAAGTTTAAAAGAAGAAAGCGCAGAAAATTCAATATAATGCTGCTCAGCTGTAGGCGGTATAGACAGTATGATGTTTGAAACAACAGCCACAGAGGTTTTAAATCGTTTTTTACTGAAAGCCAAACATATAACAATAAGCATTTTTGGTGATTTGTCAAGTAAATTATTAAAGAAGATGTAATTATGTAACAAAGAATATCAGCGGCTGTGTATTTTATTTTCCTTAGCTGATTTAGACTTATTAACATCCAGTTATCTCCACCAGACTGAGTTGCCTAGAAATGGGTAAGGGAATCTAATAAAGAGGGATGACTTTTTTGTTCACTATTGTCATTTCGTACCCTTTTATCTGGTATCTTGCTCCCAAATCTAATAATCTTGTATTCCAAGAGTAACCGGAAATGTGTGCTTTTAGGAATCAAGAATGGACTAAACACATTAACAAATTAGTTGCTTAAAATGAGAATAGCAGGATATTTTTCATCTGTGTTAATCAGCTCAGGTTCTCCATTATCATTAGCCGTTCCAAAACCTACCATGTTACCTATCCTGTTGAGGCATGGCATTACTGTATCTTAGAAAATTGGTCATGAAATAGTTAAAGTGAGCAGGATGGAATAAGCATGCCGGTCTTGCACCGTCAACATGTCCATCAGACTTCAGCTTCTGCACAGGGCTTATTTAGCTCTGAGTTCGGTCAGCACCCAACGGTTCTAGGTATCACGTCCCCATACTGGGTATTCCGAGTCAAGCGCCCTCGGGCACTAGGCAATACAATATAGCAGGATGGTCTAGTTTAGAAAGGCACAAGAGAAATGCATTTTTCACGGGTCTGGAGTGTGGGATTCTGAGATGAGGATATCAACATGGTTA